CCATGGGGGGACACCCGCCTCACCTGCCTCTTTCACCTCCTGCAGCCCTGACTGTGAAGTTTCTGACCAAGAGGTTCATAAGTGAATATGATCCGAACTTGGGTAAGATGTTTTCTCCACCGGTATTACCCCCCTGGTTGTTCCCCATGAGCTCCCACAGAGCATCCTTCCCGTCTCCCACATTTCCCACGAATATGGCATGTAAGGGAAAAAAAATAAAAATAACCCACTCAAAATTACATGAAAAACAATGGAAGGCTGGATTTGACCCAAACCTGCCTGTAAAAACAGAGGTGAAAGCAGCTCTCTCCTGGGCACGTCCCATGGGCGAATGTCGGCTCCTTGCATCACCCTGTAGAAACTGAGAGCTGCATTTTGGGGGAGCACCCGGTGCCTCCTGCTCGCTCCTGGGGGTGTGGGGCAGGGGAAGGGCTGGGGCGGCGAGTGGGGGCTGCAGGCCGGGCGGCCCCGGGGGCTGCGCTTTGCAGCGAGCGGTTCTGGGCATTTTTATTTATTTTTTTTTCCGCTCATTTGAGTAATTAATAACTATTTTCCTAGGCCTGACTCCAGGGCGTGGGGAAGAACCATAAATGATTTATCGGGGACATTAGGGAGATATGGACTATGTCCAGGAACTGACTCCAGCTCCTAATAACTCAGCGACTCTTAGGAAAGAAGGACAAATCCTTTCCTCCTCGGATCTTTTTTGGGAATGTGGTTTCATCTTCCCACGTCAAAACCTTTCCAAAACGTGTCCATTAGGACCCAGCCGGGAGAAGGCATCTTCCTCCGCAGGGGAAAGGCCAAGCGGCTCTCCCTGCCTGCCCTCTTTCCAAAAGAAAAGGGTGCTCCCTTTGCCTGATTTATCGGGAAACAGTGCCAGTGTCAAGCCCCCAGCTCACTTTATCTCGCCAGGTCACGGCATGTAGATAAGGGCTGAGCCCACAGCGCAGCAATGGCCATGCCGGGCTCCTTCCCCTCCCTCCTTCTCCCAAGGGAACCCACGCTTGCGGCACACAGGGGAAAATAACTGCTCCCAGCCGGGCTTGCGCAGCGGCATCATCACCAGCCCCCCCAGATAATGTTGTCTCAGGCAGGAGCGAGGGGGGAGGCGCCGGTGGATGATGCTCGTCATCGAGGGCTGAGGTTTTCCCATGGTGTCCCAAGCATCCAGAGCTTTGCTTGGCTTTGGAGAAGATGGGAGACCACAGCCCATCCTCACAACCATCTTTCTCCTTGCAGAGGACACCTACGCCTCGGAGGAGCTGGTGGACCAGCAGCCCGTGCTGCTGAAGGTGATGGACACAGCCGACCAGGTGAGACACTGGGGCACCACCAGTGCCAAATGCCCAGTGTGACCCAGCTGGATCACGGCTGGACCATGGCTCAGCCGCTCCTCTCGCCCCCAGGACGGCCCTGGGAACTGCGAGCGCTACCTGCGCTGGGCCAGCGCCTTCCTGGTGGTCTACAGCATCGACGACAGGAAGAGCTTCGAGGGCTGCCAGCGCTACCTGGAGGTCCTCGCCCTGCATGCCAGGGGCTGCCAGCGCCGCTGCCCCGTGATCCTGCTGGGCAACAAGCTGGACATGGAGCAATACAGGTACCTGGCGTGGGGGAAAGCTGTCTTTTCCCGGTGGGGGAGAGCTCACAGGTTGTCCCCCATCCCTCTGGCTGGGGTGAAAACCCAAATCTGCCTGTTTTGTGGTTATCTCCCCCCCCCGTCGGTATTCCTCCTCCATCTCCGAGGTTCCTGCTCTCCTGCCCGGGGGTTGATGTGATTATTTTGAGCCCGTTGGTATTTCCAGCAGTATGTTTTTTGGCTGTGTTGTATGACAGCGTCACTGTCCCCGGGCAGGGCTGGAGCCTGCTCCAGCTCCTCGCTCCCCCGGGATGTGCCCTGTCCCTGGAGCCCTTCCTTGCCCCGTCCCCGCTGCCAGGACTGGATGTCCCCGGTGTGTTCTCCTGGCCTTTTGTGCCGCTCTGGGGCCGTGCTGAGTGTTGGTCCCACGGGCCCTTGAGTCACTCATGTTGCTGAACCCCCCTGTGCATCATTGCCCCCACCCCACGGCAAGGACCTGCCCCGTCTCCTCCCTGCTTCCCAGTGTGCTGCCATCACATCCAGCTCCTTGCATTCCTGGCACATATCCCTGGCACGGGAGGTCGCACAATTCCCCAGGGACCCGCGCAGCCCATTGCTCTGGGATTTCGGGAAAGGCAAAACTCTTTTGGACTCATGTCCCCTGCTTGTCCCAGGACGGTGCTCCCCAGCAAGCAGGCGTGAGATGCAGGGTCCCCTGCTCCCAGCCTGCACCCCTCGCTCCCCTTTTCGGGTGGTTGCAGTGCTCCGAGGGATGCTGCACCCATCCCCTCCGCTCTTGCCAGGCAGGTGCCCGCAGCTGAAGGGACGTCCCTGGCGAGCAGGTTTGGGTGCCTCTTCTACGAGGTGTCGGCGTGCCAGGACTTCTCGGGGGTGCAGCACATCTTCCACGAAGCCGTGCGGGAGGTACGGCGCCAGGCGGAGCGGAGCCTGCCCGTCCGGCCACTGTTCATCACGGAGGAGTGTCTCTGCCCACCAGTGGCCACGCCGGTAGCCCTGGCCACCCGCCATGTTCAACACCCTCTCCACCGTCAACTACAAGGAGATCCCCTCGGTGGCCCAGGCCAAGCTGGTCACCGTCAAGTCCTCACGGGCTCAGAGCAAGAGGAAAGCTCCCACGCTCACCTTGCTGAAAGGCTTCAAGATATTTTAGGAGGTGTCCTGGCAGGCTGTGGACGGTGGGGGCAAGGGACCCCCCCGTCCCCCCGGCTCCGCCAGGGCTGAGACCATCCGCGATGGACTTAGGGGCACAGCAGCAGCCACCGGCAGACGGTGGCCATGGCGCAAAGCCTGTGGTGGCAATTTGGTGAGTGGCTGGGTGCCGAGGTCTGAAATTGGCTGTGGCATCATTCCGCCCGCCGCCCCCCTGGCTCTCGTCCCCCCTGGCCAAGGGCTGCCGCGGTGTTTGCGCTCTGTCCTGCCATGGCTTTCCATGTGGATCCGGGCAGTTCCAGGAGCAGCCAGAGCCACAGGCACTGCCCGGAGGGTGAGGGCTGTCCCCGTGCTCCCCTAGCCAGCTTGGGCACCGACGCACGGCGACGGGGGCCAAGGAAGGGAGAATTACTCATTAGTCGAGCACGGAGGCACCCGTCTCGTTTGTCTCATGGATTCCCTGACCGAGCAATAAGTAGGAGGAATTTTTTTTTTTTAATCTGAATGAGAACGGTGCAGATACTGTTTCAGCTGCCTAAAGGCCTCAGGTGTCCTGAACCCAATTCCCATGCATTGAGTTAGTCATACCAAAACAGTTGGTTTTTAACCAACTTTTTACACGATAGTGTTCTTCAAAGGCTTTGCAAGGAGATGTGCTTCACTGACAAGGACACACTCTGGAAAGCCTTTGTTAAAAAGACTGATGCATTTCCAAAAATGTCTTAAATTATTTCGTAGCTTCTACCTGTGCCCGGTGAAGGGCATGGAGCGAATCCTAACGTGGACCAAGCTCCACCTGTGCCCAGGCCAGGGCTGAGGGCTGCGCGTTCGGTTTCATTTGCTGTATCAGGTTAAACATTCTGCTTCTCCCCAGAGTTGCAGTTCCTCTGCGGAGTAAAATAGCCACGTGTATATTTGTACATATATACATAAATATATATATATATGACTGAGAGAGAGATTCGATACGGCATTTCCATCACCAACGGAAAATATTTTAATAAAGATGACTTCTGAAAAGAACAAAACCGCCGCTGCTTCAGTGTGGCTGTTTTCCTGGTGGGACTTGACAACGCATTCCCTGGCTGACCGCAGGAAAAGCCTCCCACTTCCAAGCCCCCACCTCCCACCTCCCACCTCTCACCCGGCTCAACTCGGCTCCCACTGGTTTGCGGTGGAGGCAGGCAGCATCTGAGGGAGGGGGCGAAGCTGGGGAGAAGCAGGAGGCAACGAGCACGGCGGGGAAAGCCCAGGCAGCCGGGAGCTGAAACGGGGGAGGCATGTGTTTGCCTCGAGTCCAGAGCCACGTCGGTGGGTGCAGCTCTGCTGCTTCCTTTTTTTCTCTCTTTTCTTTCCCCAGGCTCAAGTGCATTTTTAAACTTCCATCACTCTGAATCGCGACATTCCGATACATTCCTGAGGGCCTAAACGGTTTGACTTCAGCTGCCATTATATGGCATCCTCGGACCAGACTGTGTACAGAGACGTGACGGTCCCATCCTTCCACTGGACCACCACTTCTCCCGATCTCTGTTCCTGGGGCTCTGGCTCCTGCTTTCGCAGTTCGGCCGGGCTGTACTCCTGCACAGGCATCAGGGCTTGCGTGGCTTCCAGCTCAGCCTGCTGGGTGGTTCTCACTCTTGCTCTATACATGTGGATCTTCCTTTTCCTGCAGGGAAGGCACAAAAAGGAAATGTGGAGCGAAGCAGTGAGCCCAGCCCGCATCTGGGGACAGGCATCCACCCCCAGTGATGGTTACATCCATATCTTCACACCTTGGCCCCAGGAGCACGTTAGCTGCTCACGGGCAAATCCCACCGGCTGCACTGTGCCATGTCAGCGGTCTGGAGTGTTTGGGGGCGCACAGCCACGGGGTTTACGCTTGGAGAACACACAGAGCATCGCATCGCCCCAAGTGAGGCAGGAACACCCAGCGAGCCACCGCTAAAACAAGAGCGTGAGCATGGCAGACTTGTAACATCAGCTCCTTTTCTCTCATTTGAAGGTGAAAGCTCTGACCCAGATGTAAGTTTTCTTGCTGTAGAAGACAGCGAGTTGCTCCTCAGCTGCGGGGTTGTTGTGCAGCAGTTTCGCCCATGGGAACATCATGGGAATGCAGACGGGGAAAGGCTGGGGAGTCCTGCTCTACAGTCCCTATAGGCCCTTGTACTTATAGGAGAGGACCTCACACTACACACATTTAATATCCCTGTTGGGCTGGACAGGGCTGTTGCAGATGCTTTACCGGTGAAGATCCAGCGCCTGGAGATGTGCAGCGACTGGTTCTGAGCGACACACGAGGAGAGCAGGGAGTCAGCAAAGGTTTGACAACAAGCACGGTTCAGAGGGAGTTTGTCTTTGCTCTTCTCCCCATCACTCAGGGCTTGTTCCTGCCCCGCGTCTCAGCACGCCGCCCTGTCCTGCCAAACCCACACACCTGTCTGCCTGGGGGGTCTCAGCACACCACCACACACCAAAAGACCCTCAGATTTTCCCAACTCACCTGTTTCGCACAACGTTAATCGCCAGGAGGGAAAGACCCAAAATCATGGTCATGAAGGAAAGTAAAAGGATGGAGTAATTCCACGCTGACGCTGGGGGAACGCACAGAGAGGCAGCGTTAGCAGTGTGGTCTGCAGAGCCCGGCCAAGCGTTTCCTGAGGATCCCCAAGCTCAGAGTGCCGTGGCTTGGCTGCAGCATGAAGGCTGAGCTGCTGGTTTCCAGCTCAGCACCCAGAGCAGAGCACCCAGGCCACATTTTTGGGGACAACCTCAGGCAGGAGAGTCACACACCTGCTTTCTGCTGCTCAAAGCCCCCCACCTCGGGCTCTGTATCTCTCATGCTGACCACATCTGCCACGTGTGGCTTTTCAACCTTGCCTGCGAGCTGCGGGTGGCTGTGCCCGAGGGTGGGAGGAAGGCTGAGAGCTGCAGCACCTCACGATGAGCATTGCTAGAAGGGCCCCTCCGCTCTGCAGCCTTTCCCGCCACTGCCACACTCAGGCAGGTAGATTTTGCCTTCGAACACCAGCTGGGCTGTGCAGCACAGATGGCAGTGGATGCTCCATCCGTGATTTTTGTGGCTTTGAAGTTGACTCGGGGCACTGACCTGCTCATATTGATCTGCTCCCTCCACCCTGCTAAAATCACTGGTCATCCCAGACCTCTGTTCTCTTGGCAGGCTACGCCTGGAAAGAGGCTGGACACCTCCCAGGGAGGAGACACTATCTCAGCAAAGCCTCATGCCCATCTTCACCCATAGCTTGCCTCTTCTGGAGAGGAGACTGAGGGTTTATGTACTTGGGGTAAATCACCTCCTCAGGTAATTCCCTCGGGCGTCTCCGTTAGGCAGGAGGGTTCACAGCCAAGGACTGTGCATCTCTATTTCAACTCTCAACCCAGGAACATCAAAGGGACTTACGGTCTTCTCTGCGGAAGAACCAGAGCAGCGCCTCCAGCTCTGCTTGATCCATACCCAGCGCAAGGGTCACGTTGCCTGCTGTGTGGTCATACACGTGTGTGCTGGCAAGGGCTGCAAGGAAGTACCTGTCATGCTCTGCCTTGGCTGTGGAGGAAAAGAGCAGAAAGATGCAATGGTCACTCGATGCAATACTTTGGGCTAGAAATGGCCTTTCCCTTGGCTCCCAGGGTTGCCCAGCATTTCTCTCCAAGCAGGCATGAACGCAGCTGTGAGGGCACAGCCTTATTTCATGCACCGAGAAGTGGAGAGCGTTTCTGGCTCACACTGCAGATCCCAGGGTTGGAAAGACCCCAGGGTACTGACTGTGTCTTTCCACAATTCCACATTCCCCAGCAGCATGTGTTGGTGTGTATCACTGGTCCTCAGGTTGTGGCACTTACCTGCTTTCTCCTCGCACACGCTCCTGTCTGCACCATCTTGCCATCGGGCCTTGAGGCGGCTCACGCTGTCGAGAGTGACCCCTTTCCTGCTTGCCACCAGGAAGCTCTGGCTGCTGCCCAGAGGAGAGAGCAGCGAATTTGAGCAGCTCCAGCTCGTGTAGCCCACGCTGCTGCAGAGACTTGTCTGCACTCTGTCATCCCCCACCACAGAGAGGCAGCTCTGTGTGCCGTGATTCATCAAAGAATGGCCTTGCCAAGACCAGTCCTGGAAATCTGACTCTGGATTACAGTCCTCAAGCAGTAAATTCCCATCCATCGGGCTGGCTTGTAAACACAGCTTGACTTTAGCATTTTTCATCAGAAAAGCTTCCGTGTCTGCAAAGAATCACAGAATCATGGAATGGTTTGGGTTGGAAAGGACCTTCAAGATCATCTAGTTCCAAGCCCCCTGCCACAGGCAGGGACACCTTTCACTACACCAGGTTGCTCAAAGCCTCATTCAGCCTGGCCTTGAACACCTCCAGGAATGGGGCATTCACAACTCCTCTGGGCAACCTGTGCCAGAGGTTGCCTTCTCTCACCACCCTCAGAGAGAAGAATTTCTTCCTCAGATCTACTCTACATCTGCCCTCTTTCAGTTTAAAGCCATTACCCCTTGTCCTGTCACTACACGCCCTTGTAAAAAGAAACCAGCACATATATGAGCGTGGCCATCCCCTAAGCACTAGACATATACACAGACAGAGCGTATAGGGCAGATGGGAATGACATCCAATTCCGGAGCTGAGAAATCAGTGAAGGGCAAAAGGCTTTCAAGAGGCAGACTGCCTCCAATCCAGGTTCTCTTTGCCAGGGCTGCTGGGCTCGTAGCTGAGCCTTCCCTGACCCACGCTCCTTAGCAAACATGGCTCAAGCACACCCTTTTGGATGGGTTCAGGGAAGCCCAGTTAGACTGTCCGTGCAACTGGTGCTCAGCTTTGGTTGAAGCTGTATCTGTAGCTGTTCCCCCGAGAAGAGATGACGGTAAGTTCCTCTCCTAGACTTGAGCTTTACTGGGGCCCTTGGTGTGCTGGCTGGTGCCAGCCCCCAGAACCACACAGCCTGGCCCATGCTTAGCCCCTTCCTGCTGCTCCTGGGAGGTGGGAGGCTGCTCTCCTGGGTTGTTCCAGGAGGCAGAGAAGGCTCAGACCCTTTGGTAAGCCTCGTGGCTGGCTTCTGCTTTCCCTCTGGGGACAGACACCCTGATGTCCTGCTTCAGCTGGATGAACTAGGAACTGTCTCCAATGTCTCTGTTTCTGCAGAACCAGCAGGGGAAGGGTTTGGGGCTCAGGTCTTTCCAGTTTGGCTGTCTAACCTGAAAGCGCCAGCTGAAACATGCCTCTGCACAGTGGAAGTACAGACAGTCCCAACAGACATTGATTTTGAGTTTCAAAAAATCAAATCTCTGTAAGTCAGGCATCTTCCTTGGTGTCAAAGAGATTGCAACAGTGCTCTAAGCACAGGCTTAGGGTGCAATCCTCCCCATGCTTGAACCAAGCTGCTGCTGGTGCATACTGAGGAAAATGGGCCCATGGAGAGGAAGAAACCGTATTTCCAGCAAGTTGTGGGGTCTTTAATGCATGCCTTTGCCACAATACTATCTGTATGGTTTGCCCTCAGCCAGTCAGGCATTTATAAGGTCACACAACAATGCTGGAAGTTCTGGCGTGTATACATCCAGCTCCTGAGAACCTGCCCTGCAGACAATGTTTGCTGAACCTGGTGTGTGAGGAGGCACAGCCTCAGCACGTGTGACCTACCTCACCCACACCATTGTCCTCTAAGCCAAGACTCTACCTTGCAGCAGGAAAAATGGGATTATCCAGACGAACTTCATATTTGTACGTGCAGCTGGCACGGATCACGCCTTCGCCAGTGTTTCTTCAGCACGCAGACACCTGGGAAAGAGATGAGAGGTAAGAGATAACTTCAAAGCATCCTTTGCTAGCTCCCACTGCACAGTGCCACTGGTTTTACTGGTGGGAGCCCCGAAGGTAACAGGTGACAGCAGAGAGGGTCTGGTACAGGGTCTGCTGCCTGGCGTTGGACCTCTGGCCGAGGTGACCCCGTGCAGATGCGAGCTGGGCTGCTGAGAGCCAGCCCCTCCCCAACTAACCTCACTGCTTCCCTCCTTGCTCCCCTGACACAGTCCTTAGAGAACACATTCTTTGTGGACAGCGACTACCTCCTGCCAATCCATGGACAGCAAAATAAGGGTGTGAAGATGAAGAAGTGGAAGGCTCAGCTCCAGGAGGAGGAGAAGCAAGCTTGTCATTGAGACAAAGGTATCTCCCATCCCTCAGGGAGGCAGAAAGCTCCTCCTTGACCTTTAGTCCCTCATTTGTCAGTGGCATCGATCCAGCTTTTATGGCTGGTTGTCCAACTCAGTTCTTCAGCCTCCTTTGGAGGGACCTTCCCGAGCAGAAGGCTTTCCCATCTGCCCACTGTTAGTTTGAGAGGGTTAGCTCGGCTCTCCCAGCCCACTGCTCAGCCACTGCTCACTGGCCTCATCTGAACCGTCACTCGCTCACAGGCGAATGACACAACACCCACGTGTCCCTCAGACACGCTGGACCCACAGGCCAACAGTTACTGTACGAAGACTTGGACTTTTATGACTGTTTGACACTCTCAACTTTTACCCACCTTTGTAGTGTGGCCTGGCACTGTCTGCAACTCTCTGCTGGAAATCGCCCACGAGCACGTTCCACCGTGTCAGGTGTGCCAACAACGCTGCTGCTGACTCCTCAGGGAAGCATTTGTCCCATGGGTTATAGACCTAATGATTGCTACTATTTCCGCCCCCCTTCTCAAAGTCTTCACAATTCAAAGTTCACGTTTTATAGCCAGCCAGGCATGCAGGCTTGCTCCTTGCTGCCAGAAAACCACTTCTTCGCAATTCTTTGAGGATGGGACTCTCAGATACATGGTCCACTTTGACTCTGTATTTCAGAAAATATGGGTAAAGCTGCTCCCTGCAGTCAGGTATGCCAATTACCTTACCATCCAGGTAACCTTTAGCTTACTCACACGGATCACTTCTCAGAAAGAAGGAAATAAAGCCTTGGTGCCAGTGAAATCAACCCTAATAAAGAGGTGCCACTTGAATGTGTTAAATCTTGCTGTGCAAGGCTTCTGTCTAATCCTTTCCTGGAACGGGAATATTTGACATGCATGTTGCTGATTTTCTCCTAAGGTGTTTCATAACTTGTGGACCACCTCCTGGCGTCCACACTAACACTGCCACGCACAGCAGGGATGCTAGAAAGCTGCTAACAGTACTTCTCTACTCCATAAAGTCTTCAGCATCGCCAAATCTCCCCCAGCCATGGGAGGCCGGAATGTCTCAGGTACGATTCAGAAGCAGAATGGATATTTACCTTGCGTTAACGGGAAATTTAGGTAAAAGCTTTTAAGGGAAATGCCTGTTATTGTAAAGATCTTCTGCATTTACAACAAACTGACCAAACTAATTTGGAAGTTTCATTCATCAAGGCTACAAAACGAAGTGCTCTCTGGGGTATCTACACCAGCAGAGAGCCTGAGCAGGATCCAGAACGCTGTCTGCACCACCAGTTTCCCCCATAAGGAAAGAGTCAACTGGGCTGGAAACGCTCTGAAGAGTTTGGATCTGCCAGCCTGAAAGAGAGTTTTTTAAAGTCACCTCCTCCAGTTTCCCCCGAACAGCTGCTCTACCCCACTGCCCGCAGCCCAGCGTGGGTGAGCACTGCTCCACCAAACAAGCTGAGAGAACGTGGGTGATGTCTTCTCTGTTGCTCCTCCATCCGCAAGTCTCAGCAGTCACTCTGGCTGCGGTTGGATGGAGATAAGCCCTTAGATCCAGGCCTTAGATAACTCTAAGCTGTGGACTTTGATCTCCCAGCCCTCTGAAGACACTTTAGACCCTTCTGAGGTTGCTTCCCAGCTTGGAAACGAAAGGAGGAACCCTTTAAGAGAAAGCTTGTGCGTTTTAAGCTTGTATGGAAGGAGGCGGAAAGAACCAAGAGGCCAGCACCGCTCAAGGAAATATTTTACCTGTGTTATTTTGAGTTTATATTTACATCTGACCAATTTTGTATTTTTTTTTCTTTTTGCAAATGGTATTTTCACATCAAAAGCTGCAAAACTTGTATGCCGTGCTTACTTCAAGAACAAAGAGTCACTCACTGATGCTGTCTCAAATCCTCTTGTTCAAAAACAGGCTCTGTGGACCTTGGTGGCATCCTAGCAAATCTCAGAAAAATGAAAAAAAATGGCAAGCGACTGCTTTTTGCTCTGCATATCGATCCCAGCACTTGAATGGTAAAATCATTCCTCCTGATGGAAGCCCTTGGAGATATGAGACCCACCACACACACAAGGCAGAGCTGAGGGATTGGTGCTCTAAAGGTTGGCATAATCCAGCGAGGCGCCTGCCCCATGCAGGAACACCCACGTTTCCAGCTGCGTGCGGACTCTTTCTAGCCGGGGAACAGCACGCGGTGCTGAGAAACCACCATGTGCTTTGTATGTTGGTTTTTATCAGGTCTAATACTCAAGGTTGCTTACCAAGCCAGATGTTGCCCTCACTCTGCAAATAAGAAGTCTTGAGATACTTACCGTATCAATATAAGTAAAGATGGGGAAAAAAGTCTCCTGGAAAAACCATCAAGCACAGCTTTTATTAAGATGATAATGTCCCTCTGGACACTCTATTCACTGCACAATATGGGGCAATGCACTTACAATGTCCCAGTCCTTGTAAATTAGTCTCCTCTTGTCATTCAGACTCTCTGTCTGATGGTAATCTTCTCTTAAACGATTGTGTTAAAATGCATCAGTTATTTCAAATATGTTATAAAAGTGGGATGCCTTGGCTTTGGGATTCATACAGGATACACAGTGACACACCATGGAAACACAAATGGATGTGTTGGTTTATCAAAGTACACTAAGGACAAAATTCAATTAAAGAATACAAGAAAAATGCTTAATATTTAAAATACCAATGCAAGAAGACAATCTGTACTATTTCTTAACCTTTGTAAAGTCACAAGTTTAAGAGCAAATCTGAGTTATATTAAATATTTTCCTT